CAGGAATGTAACTGAGGGTGAGCATTGTGCGGGAGCTGTCCCCAGAGCCAGGCGTGCTGGGGAGCAGAGGGTGTGAGTGGGGCTGGTGGGTCTCTTCCTGCAGGAACAGGGCTGAGCCCACCAAAGAGACTTGCTCCTTGCTTGTCGCCTCCTGACTCCCCTCTTCTGTAATACTCGGCAGAGAAAACAGGTTTATAACTCTCGAACAGATGGTCCTGCGTGGTGACTAATGAACGGTTCGCCGCCTGTCTCGGGCCGTCTGTGACGCCTGTCTGGGCGGAAGGGGGTTCGGCTGATCCTCGCTGACGCCAGCCCCTCGGAAGTTAAGCAGTGGCTTGGCCCCTTCCTGGGTAGCCATGGTTTTCAGGCTGTGCCGCCACAACATGCATGGGTAGTTCAGGGACACTGGAGTGGGCAGATCTTGCCAGAAGCCTTCTGGCCTTTGTACGGCGTGGTTTCTCCTGGCTGTGACCTTCCCAGCAGCTGCGCCCACAGTGGGGCTTGTGCAGGGGGGCTAATTCGGTCCCACTGTCCTTGCAGGACATCTGCCCACCCTCAGAAGATGCTGTTGTCCAGGAATAGCCCCCGATGCGCTTGCTGCCTCCCATGGTGCCTGGTGCAGGGGCTGGGCAGGCAGGGTTTTGCAGGCATTGTGAGATAGCTCTGGCAGGCCTGGCTGGAGAGGCAGCTGTTTCGCTGCCTGTCGGCTGGGAGCACCTGCGGGGGGGTGGGGGCATACGGCCCTGGCCCCACAGGCACAACTTGCTGGGAAAGTGCTTTCCCATGAGCGTGGCTCTCTCAGGCATCCAAACTTCCCAACTCTCTGCTCTCCTCAAGGCTGACTCGTTTCTGCTCATCAGCCAGCCTGGCAGAGGTAACAAAGCGTAATTAACTGCTCCCTTTTCACATCCGCTTGGCTCGGCAGGAGAGTTTGTTAAAGGGATTTCTAGAGAAGCTGGTGATCGCAGCAACTGCTCCAGTCCAGCGCAGGGAGCCGGGGCCTAGGGAAGGGAGCATGGGCAAGACCTCGTTCAGTGCCTCTCCAGTGCTTTTAGCCCCAGAGTGCAGCTGCAGCCACTTGGGACCCCGGCTCCCAGATGGGTGTGCTGGGCTTGGGCTCACAGCGTGATCATGGCAGGGAAGGGCTGGTGCATTTGCCTCCAAGTCAAAAAGCCCTGTGCTTGTCTTCTCCATCCAGGGGTGCCCTTGCCCATGCAGGACCCTGGAGGGTGGCTGGTGCAGACACAGCCTTGGCCAGTTAGTCTTGCAGTGAGCCCAGCAGCAGAGAGCAAGACCCTCTTTGTGTGTCTGGGGTGCTGTGTTGATGGGGTCTGCAAATTGGGGTCTCCCTTGCTGGCATATAGGTGCCTGTCCTCATGAGGGGGGCAGAGGACCATGCAGGGAGGTGCATTGGGGTCTTCAGTGGCAGAGGGACGATGTCATGTCATTTGCCGTACAGCGGCTACTCCTGGAGTGCCTGCCATTTTGTAGCACTGAGCAACATGGGGACTGGGAGCGTTGAGCTCTGGGAACAAGGATGCTCTGGGGAGCATGTTGGCAGAGCCAGGGAAAAGCAGACCCAAGTTAATGCTGTCTGTCCTCTCTTCTGCATCCACGTGGAACTGGTACAGGAGCGGCAGAAAAAAGCCAGGTTGCCTGAGAGCAGTGACGGCTCCAAGGACTCAGACAGCTCTGCTGGGCGCCGGGGCAGCGCCAGCCGGAAGCATGGGCGATGGCGGGGACGGCCGGACAGCCCTGGGGCACTGGTGTCCAAGGTGGTGAGAGCTGTCACAGGAAGACACAAACCAGGACGGAGGCTGCCGTCTGCACCGGACTCCTCCAGCCGTAGGAACCTGACGGAGCTGCGTGGGGAGGCCCATCTGGCTGTCTTCCAGCAGGGCGACACAGGCAGTGTGGAGGGGGCACCCCAGCCCACAGAGAACAGCTTCACCCCCAAGTGCGAAATCACGGGCAAAGACGCCCTCTCGGCGCTGGCCCGGGCCAGCAGCAAGCAGTGCCAACAGGAGATTGCCAACGTGGTGTGTCTGCACCGGGCTGGCAGCCTCATGCCCCAGTCTGTGCCTCGCCACTGCCAGCTCTCGGGTGAGTCCTGCTGGAGTGTTCCTGGTGACCCCTGGGCATTGGGAATATCCCAGCCAGGTGCATGGGCCACCTTCCTTGTGTCACCAGACTGTGCCACCTGGCAAAAAGCAGCCTCAGTCTGTCACTGATTCCCAGATTACCACTGCCTCTGTAATACAATCAAAGCTGTGCCAGCCTCCTTAAGCTGGGCTGATCATCCCAACCTGCAGAGCCTGCAGAGGTCGGAGCCAGGCCCAGCTGCATCTTCTGTTTTGAGGGTTCAGAGAAGGACACCCTGCTTTCCCAATGCAGCCCTGTCAGTTTAACGCAAGGGGCTGCGTGTGCCACCATGCCCTGGCACTGCAGCATGATTGGGTTTGCCCGAGGCCGGGCTCTTCCTTGCTGTCTCCTCCCTTGCTCAGGTCTCCCTGGTTTATCAGGAACTCCATTTGGTGGGGTGCTGGGTGCCAAGGCCCAGGGTGGCTGACAGCCCTCTCCCTCCCTGCGCAGGCAAGGTCAGCCCTGTCATCCAGTGGGACGAGAGCCGGCTGCAGCAGGTGCCCCCCAGCAAGCCCGTGCGCATTGCCTACATGCTGGTTGTGCACGGCAGGGCCATTCGCCAGCTGAAGCGGCTCATCAAGGCTGTGTACCACCAGCAGCACTTCTTCTATATCCATGTCGACAAGGTATGCTAGAGGGACGAGGGGAAGGGAGATGCTGACAGTGCCCAGATCAGTCACTTGGACCAGGGCACAGAGCTGGGCTACGGGTGGGCGGTGGCACAGCATCCACTGTGCCAGAGGAGTGCCTGGGTAGGGTTTGTCCTCACTGCCGGTGGAGCTGTGACCCTCCCCTATTTCTGCAACCCCAGGGAAGCAGGATCTATCCTTCCTGCCCAGAGCAGACTTGTCTTCCTGCTGTTCTCCTTGTGGAGGCTGCCGTAAGGGCTGACCCCCAGCTGGCAGCAAGGAGGCCCTGGGAAGACGAGCTCCCTGCTGACCATGAGCCGTGTTCCCTGGCAGCGCTCCAACTACCTCCATCGTCAGGCACTGGAGCTGGCCCGGCACTACCCCAATATTCGCGTGACACCCTGGCGCATGGTGACCATCTGGGGAGGAGCCAGCCTGCTGAAGATGTACCTGCGTAGCATGAAGGACCTGCTGGAACTGGCTGAGTGGCCTTGGGACTTTTTCATCAACCTGAGTGCCACCGACTACCCCACGAGGTGAGGGCCTTGCTGGGGCAGGGGAGGATGGTGGAGATGTTCAGGCTGCGTGATGCTCCAGCAGCCTTGGGAGGGGTAGGGAGGAGCAGGGAACTGAGGGAAGATGGGGTTGGAGATTGCACCCATGCATTGGTGATGATGCTCCAGGGTCTGGCCAGTCCCATCCCTGCAGAGGAGCCCAGCCAGTACCTCGGAGGCTGTTTTCTTCCTGTGGTCTGGGTGTTCCAGAGGAACGAACGATGTGAGGCTCCAGACAGCAAAGGGGCCACGTTTGTATCTCCTCAGCCACGGGACATGGGTTTGAGTCAGCACCTACTAAGCAGCCTTAGGCTCTTTCTGTCTGGTGGCTCTTGCAGAGTGAATGTTTACTGGGCTGCTTTACCCCAGGGGCCGTTAATGTTTTCTAATTTGCACCTCAGGACCAATGAGGAGCTGGTGATGTTCCTGTCCAAATACCGAGATAAGAACTTCCTGAAGTCTCATGGCCGAGACAATGCCAGGTAATCCCAGCTAGAGGCAGAACTGAGCTGAAGGAACAGAAGAGGAAGGGATTTCAGAAAAGAACTGAAACAGCTGGGGCATGGGGGATGTTCTGGATGTAGCTGTACCTAGCAAAGTGGGTGACAGCTCTAACCCTTCATCTTCATCCCTAACCCCTTATCCTCATCCCCATGCCCAGGTTTATCAAGAAGCAGGGCCTGGACCGCCTGTTCCATGAGTGTGACTCCCACATGTGGCGGCTGGGCGAGCGCCACATCCCCGAGGGCATCGTGGTGGATGGGGGCTCCGACTGGTTCTCGCTAACGCGCAGCTTCGTGGAATACGTGGTCTACACGGATGACCAGCTCGTGTCCCAGCTGCGCCAGTTCTACACCTACACGCTCCTGCCAGCTGAGGTGGGTGCTAGCTGCAGGGCACAGGCTGGGTTGTCTTCTCACTGTACTTAACATCTCTGTCCCACTTCATCCCTGCCCGGGGTAGCTGCGAAGGGCGCTGCTTTGTGCAGGCAGCTTTGTGCCTCCTTTTTGCCTGGACCTGGGTATGAAAAAGGGGAGAGAGGAGCACACAGGCCAAGGGTCATGTTTATATCCAGTCCTGCTCTAGGTCCAGACGCCCCTCTAGGCTAGATAAGGACTGATGTGGGCACACAGCCTCGACTCTTACGCGTTGCCCTGTGCTGGAAACGGGGATAGGTTTCCGTTCAGGAGCTGTCGAGGCCTGTCCTGTTCCTCTGAGTGAGGGGTGGGGGTGGGGATCTCCTTTAACCATCCATCCTCCATCCCCATTGGGTCTCCTGTGCCTTCTCTGCCCTGCACAGTCCTTCTTCCACACGGTCCTGGAGAACAGTCATGCCTGTGAGACACTGGTCGATAACAACCTCCGAGTGACCAACTGGAACCGGAAGCTGGGCTGTAAGTGCCAATATAAACACATAGTCGACTGGTGCGGGTGCTCCCCAAATGACTTCAAACCCCAGGACTTCCTCCGGCTACAGGTGAAAAAGATCCTCCTTTCTCCTCCCGCACTCTCCCCCCTTCCCTGTCCTGCTCCCCTGCAGGCGCACCCCTGGGTGCAATGCCAGCTGCTGTGCACGCCTGCATGAGCCTCACCCCAGCCCTGCAAGGGACAGGAGCAGGATTGGCTCCCTGGCTGCCACGGGGCTCGGCACAGACGTGTCTGTAAACGCTCGGGCAGTAGGATTATGCTGACTGTTCTGCCCAGCGGCCAGGCTTTTGCTTGCAATGCTGCTCCTCTTCCCAGGCTTTCTCTCCCATTTTCCTGCTCTTT